TGTCAGTGCTTGCACATTGTCTTTTAACATTGTTTACTGTATATTGCTCCTGGACAGTTGCCAATCTCAGTTGCTTAAGTGATCAGAACATGTTGAGGGAGGGCGGGGGGGGGGCATCATCTCAATTAGACCCGCAACACACACCCAGCAGGCTTAAAGCCCCACACCTCTTCTACTCAAGCAGCTCCTGAGGTGCTTTTAATTGCTGTAATGTAGGAACACGCTCCGGCATCCCTCGAGTATCAGATCTGCCCCTCAGATAGCCAGATGGCGGCTGCATTAGTAGCCGGTTTTTGGGACCGTACATCCATTACATTTAGATACACCCGATCACAGTAACAATACATAGTGATGTCAGATAAGGATCACAGCAGTAAAACTGATACGAGATTAACTTTTTCCCTTTTTTAAGCAAAGCTTATTCATTTTACTGTATTTTTTGTAACCATAGCTGAAGTCATCTCCTCCTCCGTTCGCCCATTCATCTGCTTTTCTTACACTATATAATAGGAGTTTTGAATCAAACTTGCCACGAATGTTGACGCTTATCTGAAGTAACAGCTGTATTGGTGGGACTAATGTTGTGGACCGGGATGCTGTACGGAGGGGAAAGAGGGAGGGAGGGAGGGAGTGATGAATGATCTGTCCGGGGAGAGAGGGAGATATAAAGAGATGGGCTGCTGGCCAACTAGGTTAGAGGTTTTATTGTTGATGTCCACTTGGTTGCATAGAGACTACCTCAGACAAACACTCAAGACCTGAGAGCATGCACACCCCTGGTCAAACACGGGTCTAGACAGTCCGACGCTTAGCTGTGTGCGTACTGAAATATGCATCACTCAAAAATACATTTGGAGATGCTTTTGCACTACGGGAGGAGGGTGGGGGGGGGCTGAGACAGAGGGATGACATGCGCTAAATGTAAATGCCAAAAATCCAACAGTCACAGCTACATGTGTACATAACTAAGCTAAGATTGACTTTTGATCAGCAGAATCTAAAGCAATGCAACATATTGTCAAGTTCTTGGAGGATGATTTTGTGAACTCCTGATGAGCTCTGACAAGCCAGCCAGCTTGACAGCTGACAACTGTGTGTGTGTGTGTGTGTGTGTGTGTGTGTGTGTGTGTGTGTGTGT